ATTCCACGTTACAATGAGTAAGTCTTTACGCTCTAATACAGATGTCTAGACGTTTCGGGGAAGGTAGCTTCCTCTAATTTGGTAATACTGTCTAGAATTGTATCAAGCATAGTCATTATTTGGTTCGTTGCAGATTTGTCAGATTTGCAATTATTTGTGCATTATTAATAATAGGTCGTCTGGTTTGGGTATTATTTCTATTATCGTTAGTTTTGTTCACCTGGTCTCTTCTGTATTGTATCTCTTTCGCGACTTCGCATCCTCTATAGCTCTATAGCTTGCTGGATGTGCTTGATTACAATTTGCGCATATTGGTGATATACTTGCCGGTTTAATGCCAATTCTCACTGTAGTTCAGGTCATGCTCTGCTCACGCTCCATTCAAGGAGCGATGCAATATTGTGACATGCTATTTAAATAGAAATATTCATATTTGGCGTTTCGATCAAGGTCAGCTCACGATAATTGACCGCGGTCTTTCTCCGTGCGGATATTTTGACCGAACCGTGAGTGAACCTTTGCGTCAGTATGTACAAGCAACAATTAAACGACGTTTATTTTTTCTATTCTTGTGTTAAGAGCAAGTCGGATGAACAACCAATTGAATTAGTTCGAAATACTAAAGAATTGTACAACTTGGGTAATAAGTTATACTCTAAGATGGCATTAAAAGATATAAGATTTTCGGGAACTGAGCGCCAATTGAGTGTAACATGTGAATACTACCTCACATCCTTGACGGTGAGCAGATCGTGTGCGTAGTGTGACTTGAGCGCCTAGTGAAAATCGGCCATTATCACACTCTCCTGTAAGATGCGTTTTGGCACAGTTAACACACACTGGTTGCCTAGTACAAAAATGTTTAGTATGTCCATATCTTTGGCACCGTTTGCATTGGGGAATCAATTTTGGGTTTCTCACTGGCTCAATTTGGATTATTAGGTTTTTTAATATCTTAATTTCGTAAATTCTTTTGTCTTTGCCGTTTTCAAATGTTAACATGAATAGCGGCAATGGATTTTTTATAGCAGTTCTTATGGCTTGATTCACTCTTTCTTCGTACTTAGTTTCTGTCCGTTGTATATTAACCACATCCAAGAATTTAAATCCGCTGTGCTTTAATTCTTCAGCTACATCTTCTGGCTTTCGGGTAGGATGTAGGTTTCTGGCTACCACTTTTATTGGTCTGCTTTATTTCATCTCATGAATTTTTTTTTTTAGTTTTACACCCTTCAGACCTCCCGTGCTACACCCTAATCCGTCTGTAGCCTGGCAACACTGCAGCCTGGCAACACTGCAGCCTGCGGCTTATTGTACCACCATTTGAAGGTCCTACTACTTTCCCATTCACACCCTCACCCTCATTCATTCAATCCACGTCGTCGATGGTTAAATTTTAATTTTAATTGTGCCCATATTATCTATGTTCTGACTTACTGTATATTTTTTTTTTTACTAAATTTGTATTTATTATATTAGCAAATTATCTAATTGAATCGTTCATTTCAAAAACCACATAAGTCAAAATAGTTAATTTTTCAGTAGAGCGAAAAAACTGTTTTGCACAAAAAGTATCTTTATAAAGTGAAAAAACGTATTTTTTTTTAATATAAACTACATGACTATAACTAATGTTGATGAAATTACTATAAACATATGAATGGTTTTTTCATAAAAAAAAAAATTATAAAATGACTTGTGTGGTTTTTACACGGAATTCTATTTTGAGGAATTAAATTTTAATTTTAAAAATAAATAAACAGAAAAATATTAAGATAAATGGTTTATTTGAGTTTTTTTTTAAATATAATACGTCAGTTAAATAATTAAAAATAAAAAGATTATGGAACATAATCAAATTCTTCGTCGTTTTCGACATCTGGACCGTCATTTTCCTCTCCAGTTGGCCAGTTGAAAATTCCTTCATAAAATGGAATATGTTCTTGGATGACACTATTTTTCACTCGTTTGATATTTTCTATCTTTTTGGGATTTATGGGAACACTGCCGGCTGGATATGCATTTTCTGTGGGTAGTAAGATGGCACTTGCTTTGTTTCTGGTCAAGTCAAATGTATGTCTACGTAAACCATCTATAAACTCATGAACAACCACTACTCCTTTTCTATTTTTATCATACTGGAATGCCATGTAACAAGATAGTGAGAATGACTGTTTCAGTTCTTTTGGAATGTGCTTACCAAAGCTCTCATCTGACAAACATACTTTTTTGTAAAATTTTGGCCACCATTTAGCAAAATCTAAAATTTGTTCTGTTGACAACATAAAGACTTTAAAATTGGGGCTTGCTTCTGACATAATCTTATAGTACTCATTAGGAACATATATACGGTCACACTTTTTAATCTTTTTTTTCACAACTCCGAAGTCTCGATCGTTGGGAAGAAAAGAATGTCCTCTTATAGGGAAATAATGCGTTACTTTCGAAAATCGGCCTGTGTCTGTCAATGATAGTAAAAATCGTATGACTGTATGATTTTTATTTTGGCCTGGACAGTTATCTGAGAAGAGTATTACTTCATTAATATTTTCTCCTAAAAAGTTGTCCATGTAATGTAGAAGCATTGAACAAACTTCGTTTGCTCCTTTGTTTGCTATGCCTTCATGATATACATAAAACACAGTCTCATTAGTCTTCAAATTTTTTATCCCAAAACAATTAACCCATAGCTGTCTCAGATAAAATATTTCTTGTATGGGTAGATGCGGCAAAGGTAAATTTTGCATGAAGTCAAAGGTCAAGCATGCAACGTCATCCTGACTAGTGCAAATTTGTTTTACTGCGGCGATTTTGTTATGAAATTTTTTTGCCCGCCTATTGTGAACTGCCTTTTCGGCTTCAAATGCTTTCTTTGCGTTAAAGCCTAACGTAGGGCTTTTTATTTTTACCTCTAATTCTTCACATTCAATACATGTATCTATCTGGGGTCGTCCAAAACGTAGAGAAAATGTTGTTTTAAAATAGTTTGCATAAAAAGCATAGGTAACTTTCAATTCTGGAAATTTTTTTCTGAACATAGCATGCATTGTTTTGACATCTAGGCGGGCATCTAAATATTCAATTTCTTTGCCTGAATAGTGCGTTCGTTTTCGAGGAAAATCAAGAATGTGGTCATGAATAGCTTTTAAAACAGTAGGAGGTGTGGTGTTGACCTTTTGATGTTGGCCTCGTTTGTCGTGCGGTGTAATGGATTGTTGCAGTAAGGTACTAAGACGTCTAACTCGGTTTTCGGTGATGCCGTATATAGAAGTAAATGCTTTCTTACAGACAGTTTCCTTTTTGTTTTGAGTATGTACACAATATTTAAAATGATAAACCCTTGGTATTGCACCTTCTTTGCGAAATCGATGACATTTTACAGGATCTTTTTCAATCAGCTGTTGTAGATAGATGTCTTGTTCATTTTTATTTAAAAATCCATTTATTTTGTCAATACAAAAGTCTAGGTCTTCTCGAGTTAGTCGTTCAAAGCATGACATCTTACACCTAAAACAATGCAACATACGTACTATCAATAAGATGGACGGTTTATACCTCTGAGAAATGAATAAAGGAAAATGATACATCTAAAACATTTTCCTTTATAATGATCGATATTAGTTGCAGAGAAAAACTTACATGCAGTCCGGTCCAGTAACACGAGCTGGTATAATATTTCCAGACCAGTTTATATGTTGGAGTCCTTTAACTTTTGACATTTTAATAACGTTCCTCTTATAAGTTTTAGAACGTCTTTGCCTTTTTTTTAAAGGTTCAGGTTCGCTACGTTCACTTGATGCTTCAGAATCAGACATATTTTCTACTGAAAACTACGCTTTATACGTCTAGAACAGTACAATGCACATACTAGAATGCCGGCGACTAGCAAATAATAATATGTAAACAAATGATCGCCATATTTGGTCCCCCACCACACCGCCCTAATAGTCCGCGTAAGAACAACGCTAGTCACAGACTTATGTGGTTTTTGCAGCGAATACTGAAATTGAGAGCGAAGTAGGCAATTAACGGGCTATGGGACTTGTGTGGTTTTTACACTGAAGATGTATTTACCCCCGTAGATGCGGTTCGTAGTAAAAACTCAAATTGGCAAAAAAATGACTTATGTGGTTTTTGAAATGAACGATTCAATTAAAGGAAATAATAAAAATAAAATTAAAACTGAATACGTAGGAGAGTGTAAGGCAAAATGGCATATCGCACACCGGCAAGTATAGTGTCATAACATTAAAAATAATGTAGTTTTTGGGAAATCACGTTTTAATATTTTCTATATTAGAAAATTGCATTTAACATTTACTGAGATGACATATATTGGAAAAACAAAGATATATTTTATTAGACTATTCAATTTCCTATTATATTTTCATCGTCATAACGATCGACAGATATTTTTTCTATTTTTTTAATTGTTTATTTTAATTTCCCCTAATGTGTCTTTTTAGATAAAATGAAAAAAATTTACATGAAATAAAATACTGTTTGGTATATAATAATTTATTTATTTCAAAATAAATGTAGTAATACTAACATTTTTGTAGAAAGTTGTTTCTACTAAAATTGGAAACAAAGTGTCAAAAACCTATTCAATAGAAAATAAATTCGAGACGGTATTGTAACGCCGGGTGACCGTTCTTTGAACTATTTGGAAGGAAGTGGCACCATCTCGCGGTCACTCTAGTTAATACAAAACGCGGGAACATTCAAAATCGTCATTGTATAACTGTAGGGAGTTCAATTAAAAGTTTTCATTTACTTGATTTAGCAATTGTCAAAGTGATTAATCCGTGAAGTGAACTCGCTAATCGCTAATCGCTGATTGTAATGTAAATTTTAAATGTGTACATGAATTGAGCCACAGAAAATATAACAGGTCAAATAAATAAATTTTAATTCTCACATAGTATAACAAAAAAAAAAATCCATAAATACATGTAAACAAAACAACTTTCTTAATATTAAAATAAAACAAAACTACAAAATTATTCTGGCTCTGAATCGGTTAGATCCACTGAAGTCGCTTTATACATTTGAGAATTGTGTAGTTTTATTAGGTCTTCAGAGTTCAAAGAATAACATAATTCATCTTTTGAATTCAAATAACTTTTGCTATGGAGCAACCCCACAATACTGGCAGTAGATAATTTATTGCGCTGCTTGGTTTTTAGCAAATTTACTTGCGAAAATATTCACTCCACGTTTGCGGAGGAATGCGGCAAGCACAATAAATTAATTACAAAATTACTTACATTTAAAAACATTGGTGTGGAGTCTCCATAGCACATATTTTTAATAAAAACCCAGAACTGTTCTATGGTGTCTGTATTAGTAAGTTTTGTATTTCGCAATAATCGCCACTCATTATCTAATACTTGTCTTTCGGACTCCTTTATCAAATTTGGAAAATGTCGTGCTAAGTGAATTATCGTGAGGTTGTTGCCTGAGAGTACTTGATGAGGATCTATTATCTCTAGTTTTTTTAAAATATTGTCACCAAAATCAAACCGTTTATTGATTTGTACACAGCTTTCGATAAAGAAATCCAAACATCGTGTGCAAAATGTGTTTTTCCTCTTGCGATAAATTGCTCTTGGACAAAGACACTTTAGCACCCAAATAAATATCATTTAGTGGAAGAACATTTTGTGGATCTTTGAAATTTATTTTATCAAGGGTAGTTGCATGGATTATTTCTCTTTTTATAAAACACTCTAAAATTGTTTTATAAATTACAGATAAATTTGAATGTATTTTATGAATTTTTGGCCGAGATGATGGCATTTCTTTATTCATATTATTAAAAAATGCTAAAACAAATTCAAGAAATTGCAAAAAATATTTTGTGAGTGGTTCTTCTAGTCGTGTGAAAATTGTTTTTGCTGCAACAATTCTCTCAGTAGTTACCGCATCTGTGAAAAACAGAATTAAAGCATTGTATTGCTCTAATATTCTAACCACGACACTTTCCAACGATAACCATCTAGTTTGTGCAGGATGCAGCAATTTATGAATTTTAGTGTTTGTAAAAATTTGAAAGTCTTTCAACTCCTCAAGTCGTTTTTGGGCTATTAGATATGTAGTTGTATATATCCCTTGCTACATCTTCAACAGTCCTGGGTAGCTTTTCACATGCAGCTGATGCACATAAATGGAAACTGTGGCATATGCAGCGCTTTAAAAATATGTCTGGAACTTCCTCTTTCATCCTACTCATGACGGAGTTGTATTTTCCTGTCATGACATTTGCTCCATCGGACGCAAAGCCTACTAGATTTGTCTTATATGGTACGTTTTTTTCTTGAAAGTAGGTGGTAATATTGTAAATATCCTCGGCTCTGGCATATCTTATTGGTATTAATCTTAGAAAACCGTCAAAAATCCTGAAAATATATCAATAAATTAGACTAACTTTGATAAAAATAAAAAACTAGGTATAAAAGAACTTACTTTCCATTTTGAAAGTACCTACAAATCAATGCCAAATGCTTTGTACACGATCTGTCGGTTGACTCGTCTATTATTAACGAACATTTTGAGTTTCTTAAAATATTTATAACGTCCATTTCATTTTTAGCTGCTACTTCAAGTGAATTTACCTTTTTAAACTTGCCCATACTAGTCAGTAGTGTTTGATTTTTCATGCACTTTGTTGCTTTTTTATGCAAATACACTTTCTTTATGCTGCAACAGAATGGTTTTGCCGGTATGAGCAATATTGATTATTTCATTGCAAACAGTGCAAATTGCTTCACAGTCTATTTTTCCCTGTTTTATCCAGCCTTTAAACTGTTCATCATTTTCCCAATCTTTCTTATATTTTTGGGAATATTTTATTCTCTTTTTTGAGCGAGTGGAAGGGCCTTCTCCACCTGAAGGTGATTTATCATATTCTTGGGAGTCGGAGCTATAACTATTTGACAATTTAATTAAAACTCTACTGAAAAAGTCCTAAGAAATTACCTGCTCATGATCAACTCAACTCCAAACCAAAATAATAAAAAAAAACTGTGACAATAAACGAATTTATTCACGAAATTATTTAAACTAATAAATTATTATTTACAAAATTAGGGGATTTCCTCGCATCATACCATTTGTCAATGTCTAACTCACAGAACACTTACTCTGTCTTGTGTCACGGCGAACCGAATAAAACAGAACAACGAACAAAATAATGGCGTGCAGCTTGGGTATATCTATGGTCCGTATTTATAAACAGAACTCAGCTGAGTCCGCACTTGGGTAAGTCATCCTTGAACTAAAATCGAAGTTCGGTTACAACGCCTCTGAAGTTCCAGGTGGTTCCGGTGTTACACTGAAATTTAGAGATGGATATTAGCAAATCTGTAACTGTTAAGTATATTTACGGATTTGTTACTACCCATCTCTAAATTCACGTGATATAACCGAACTTCGATTTTCGTTCAAGGACGACTCAGCTGAGGTCTGTTTATAAATACGGATCTTAGTCCTTTTCTTTCGTATACGGCTTACATACTTTCATAGAAAAAGCAGAAAAATAGACATTGAGGCCAAAAACAGTATATTTCATAGTGAAAACAATAGAACAGGAGATTGAGAGTTAAAACGGGAGATTGAGAGTGAAAACAGGAGATCTCCTGTTAAAACAGGAGATCTGGTAACACTGCTTTGATATGACACTATAGGTCAATGTTGCCAACTTCTAAGCGACCAATTCCACCAGATGCCACAACAAAGCACCAGAAAGGCACCAAAAAATTTTTTTTACAATAAAATCACCAGAAATGCACCAGACCAGATTTTTATAAAAAATATTTTATTTAATATGAAAAACAAACAAAAAAATAAAAAATCAACAACTCCCTTTGGTTTTAATGTAAAGTACATGTTTTTAATAAAAGTTTTCTGGACTGTATGTTAAAGGTACTGGTTCAATTATGCACTTATTGATAATTTTAGTTGAGTTTAATTACAACTTGCAACACAAAAACATAGTATATGAAATAAAAATGAGAACAAAACGTGTTACTTTGTTAATTTATTCTGTCTGTCTAGCCGGCTTTTTCGTCAGTCCCGTCTTTTTGCACACCTCCCAACTAACGGTCCGTTTGGCGTGTGTCGACGCCACTTAACCTTGACACCGGCACTAACGATGGTAATAAAAGAAGTCCACGAGCCAGTGGCGTGCTTTAAATTTTCTTAACAGTACATATTAAGAAAATATAAAAAATAATGTAATAAATTCTTATTACTAAATAAAATCAATATTTATGTCGATCAATTCCTCATCTGACCCCTCCGCTTGGGAATATGTATTTTTGGTTTTAATTTTACTTATAACATTTTCAGGTAGTTTATAGCTATCACAACATTTATTTTCAATTTTTACACCTAATTTGACTATCATTATGGAATTGACCATTGCCACTCCGAGTCTGTTCCTTAATTCAGTCTATTATATTAAGTTGACTGAATAGCCGCTCAACTTCGGCATTAGAATATCGAAGAACCAATAAAGATAACGCAAACATAGCTAATGAAAGAAATGGATTTTCACCACCTGCATCTTTAAATTCTACTTCATACCAAAAAGCTTTAGTATCTGTAATATTTGTTCGTTTCGATAAACAACTAACGAGGTGTTTGTGGATGAACTCAAAAGCCTTTATCTCTGTTGTAACGTTTATTCTCAAAACAACTCGCATCCATTACTTGGTTCTGTCAACTGTCTGATCATGGACCATCATGTTAAGCTAGATGATACATTCAGATCATATAGATGAAAGATTCATAGGTATATATTTTATAGATACTACATTCTCGCCTTACTTTAAACAAAAAAAATACATTTAACTTTTCTTTTTTTTATTTTTTTTTATTATCGTAATCGTTGAGATACTTCGGTTTTCTTAGGTGACTTCTGGGTCTCAAACTTCTTTGGTTGAATAACGATTCATTCTCCTCTTGAGAGTCAGACAGACTTGTCATGGAGTCTAAATATTCTTCTGATGAAGTTGTATCTTCACTAGTTTTGTTTTCTTCTATAATTTCGATTGGGTTATTTGAATCCTCAAATAAATTGAATATCTGCAATAGCGGATTATTTATTTCTTTCTCTCTCTCTTCAGATGAATTTTCTTCGCTGGGTGATATTTCGTGAAATATTTCAATGCTTTCTGGTGTGAGGGTAAAATGTTGTGTGGTAAGTAGTGGTATTGAACATCCAGCGTGTAAATCTTGGTGCTGCTTGGCTAAATAAGGGTGGATCTTCCTGTTTAGGTATCGTTTGTGTAATTGGTTTTCTCAAATTTAACTTCTTAAAGAATGAAGAATTTCTTGTTTTAACTTCTTCTCCTCTTTTGACTTGTACAGTGGAGCCCATAATTTTACTTACTCTGTATGGCTTCGGGTCAAAATAAGGTATTAAATTATTCTTTTGAACTTGTTTGCATAGTACTAGATCTCCTTCTTTGAAGTTGTGAGTTTTTGTTCTTCTTTTGTTATCAGCATAGATCTTTTGCTTTTGTTTGTTTTTCTGATCTGTATTTATTAGCATTTTGTCTTGTTCATATTCATCTATTGTTGGCAAGTAATTATTCATTTTTCTTCCAAATATGACTTCATATGGAGATTTTTCTGTAGTTGAATGTGGTGTGCTTCTGTAGTTAACTGGAAATTGTTGAATTTTTGACGTGAAATGTCCATTTTCTAAGTGGGTACAAAGGAGTGCCTTTTTTACAGTTTTGACAAAACTTTCTGCCATCCCATCCTCGTCGCCAAAATGTAATATTTGTTTGTTTCGATAAACAACTAACGAGGTGTTTGTGGATGAACTCAAAAGCCTTTATCTCTGTTGTAACGTTTATTCTCAAAACAACTCGCATCCATTACTTGGTTCTGTCAACTGTCTGATCATGGACCATCATGTTAAGCTAGATGATACATTCATGATCATATAGATGAAAGATTCATAGATACAGGGTTGGGCATAATTGGCGGAACACCCGATTTGTGGCTCAATTATGGATTGTATTGAAAATTAACCCAAATAAAGTTTTTTGTATATTTTATGTACTATTTAATGACGCTTGGGGATTTTCATTATCTGTCATATTTATCAAGATATGACGTCATCGGATGAAATTTTAAATGAATCACCCTATATTTATATTTTTTTTTCAGATAGATCTTTTCTTTCTGAATCCATTAATGTAAGGTTTGAGGGTCTCCGAGTTCATAACAAAATAGAAAGTAAACATTTATTTAATAAAAAATAATAATTATTATCAATCGAAGTATTACAAATCTCTCAAAGTAAGTGTTCGAAGTGAAAGCCTCCAACTGCCTGACAATATCCTAGTCTATCAACAAATGATCTTAAGGCATTTTGATAAACTTCAGGTGTTATTTCTTGAACAGCAATTCTTATTTTGTATTCCAATTCTTCCAGCGAATGTGGCAGGTCCTTATAAACTACTGATTTCAAATGGCCCCAAAGAAAAAAATCCAGTGGGGTTAAATCCGGTGACCGTGCCGGCCACTCAATATGTCCTCTTCGACCCACCCATCTCTGTGGAAATATTGTGTTCAGGTACTGCCTCACTCTAGCATCGAAATGAGGTGGAGCACCATCTTGCTGGAACCAAATTTCATCAGAAAGTTGTAAGTGATTTCTGTGATTTGGATATAAACGAACTAACTCTGGAACTATCTGCTCTTGAAGTAGTTGCAAATAACGATCACCGTTCAGAGTTCCTCTCATGAAGAATGGTCCAATAATTCTTCCTCTAACTATACCAGCCCAAACATTTAACTTTTGTGGATATTGGGTGTGACCTTCTTCCATCCAGTGAGGATTATGATCAGACCAATACCGGCAATTATGTTTATTTACAAATCCATTGAGACAAAATGTTGATTCGTCGGAAAAAACAATGCTGTTCATCAACATATTATTTCCATTAATGGCATCCATCATTACCTGGCAGAATTGCATTCGCCTATCTGGGTCATCTTCATTCAATTCCTGGTGTAATTGCACTTTATAGGGATGAAATTTATTGACTTTCAGAATCCTCCTTACAGATCTCTCGCTCATATTATTGTCTAACGCAAGCTTTGGAACTGAAGTTTTTGGTTCTTCCTGTACACTTAGAACCACATTAAGTGCATTTTCTTCATCAGTGGCTGTCTTCTTCCGTCCAGATCTGGGATTATTTTTCACACTTCCTGTTTCATTAAACTTGCTCAAATTTCTGGATACTGTAGATTTAGAAATCGGGGAAATCCTGTCAGGAAATGTTTCATTGAACAAATTACAAGCTTCTTGCAGAGATCTCTTTCTGTCTCCAAACCCAATAATCATCAATAGTGTAATTCTTTCACGTTCACTCAGTTCAACCATGGTTTAAATTAAAAATTCTCAATAGTATCAAATGCTAAGAGTTATTTATTTTCGCGTATTGGGCTAGTTTGGGTGAAATTAATTGACTTGCAATTAAACTCAACTTGTTTGATTGTCTCCATAAACCAGAATGAATTAAAATCTACAGATTAATAAAAGGTGACAATAGTTTTTATA